TTATTAATAAATCAGTCATAATAATATTAACATAGAAACATGTTTCTTTTAACTCGTTTCTAAATTTAAAACTTAGAAATAAACTAACCAAAATAATGCTATATTTTAAATTTAAAACCATTAAAAGAGTTATGTTATTTTATTCCCATGTCGAGCTGCAATCAGAAATCCGTAACCCTCCCAGTTATGCGCCGAAATTTCCAATTTCTATCAAACGAACCAGGGGACACTGGCATACCGAAAGATAAACCATTGAATCAGACCGTAAATGAAGCTGGCAGGGCAAATTTTGTGGTCGTGTTGTGGCGGCAAATGAAAGTTAATTGGTTTAAGGAGATTGCCCGTGGAGGAGGCGCCGATGTGGAGGTGGCCAAGTGGCATAGTGGCCAAGTGGCGGTGGCGTTGGCGTTGGCTGTGGCAATAGGCAATCCTCCTTTGGCTCCTCGGTGGCAGCCAAAGTGGCAGGCGGAGCGCAATGAGGCGGATGCGTGCAAACGGCGTGAAAGCAAGGAGCTTATTCTGCCGGGGGCCTGTAATCAGGTCCGGACTCGAGGCCGCAGTCATATGGCTGAATGAATTCATTTGCAAGTCAGCCCACAACACCCCCAACCCTCCCCCCAAATTCCCACCCACCCCACAATTTCCTCCCGCAACCTTCGCCCTTAAGCAATAATTCGCTTGTTGTTGCCCCTAATTGGAAAACTTTGTCGAGCACTTAGTGTCAACAAATTTATTGTCTATAATTGCTGCTTTGCCAGAACTTACTCTCGCTTTTTTCGGTATTTAAGTCGCTGGCGAAAGTTCAAACATCGCTGGCAGCCATGGAAATGGGTAATGAATGAGGCTCGAAATCCCCAAATCCGACACATTCTCAGCTGCCAGAGCTCCATTATTCAGAGCTAATTACACTTGCAACAGCCCGTCCAGAAAAAGTACACTTTTAACACATTTACCATTAATTAATTAGTCAATATTTAAAAAGGAAGCGACGCTTGCACAGTGCACATCAAACATGTGGAAAAGATAAAATAAAAGCCAATATATACACTAATGGATTTAAGATAATTTAAATGAATTAAGATAAACATGACTTGAAATTGGAAGAGGGGTTGGGAATAAAGTTGGGATTTTGTATATTATTGACTACCTTTTTTGTATAACTGATTATTAGGAAAGGGTAGCTCACGTTAATTGAGTTTATTAAAAACAAAATTTAACATTTGTATTATATAATATTTTTTTTTTCTCGTCATCCGAATTAATTATAGATCATTTCATAATTATTCAACCGACCTTTAGGTTTCTTTGCTGTGGCCGCAGTAATTTGTTTTTAAGCCCGCTTTTCTGGGCTTACGTGTTTTTGCAATTGCCCCGGACCCTTTCACTCTTGCACTCCCCTCACGCACATTCCCCATCTATATATACATCTATATAGTTGCCTCCCCTCCGCAGCATCTGATATTGATTAAATGAAAGCGCAGTGACATGTCAACGGCAATGGGAAACTCGCTCTGCATTCGGACTCGGCGTTCGGAATCTGCTGCATTTACAGATCAACTTCGCTCCGTTCATACATATCCAATTATGCAAATGCAAATGTTGCCGCTGTCAGCAGGCGGCGTTCGAATTGCGAGCACTTAATCAACATGCATCGCATCTCATCGAGGACCAAACGAGTCCTGGCGCATCGCAGGATGTTCCCGCACCAACCTGACCCGACCTGACCTCATTTGGCTGGCAGGACTCGTCACAAAAGGCCGTAAGTTCGAGCGACTGGTTATCAGCAGTTGGCCAGGCAGCAGGCCTCACAAAAGGACACTCGGCCGTGCTGACATTTAAGCAGGATAATCGCCATTCCATTATCCTCGCAGAGTCGCAAATGCACTCACTACTCAGTTTAGTTTTTCAAAACAGAACTCGTCTCATTGCCCGTTGATTAGCCTGGACCACGCCCACCGTTTAAGTGGTCGTCTAAAGTGTGTTATGTATTATGGGCTTTCAGCCAGCATGTCCTTGTCAATTGTCGGAGAGCAAGTGTCGGACTACACGTCGAATTGGAAACGAAGCCCCGTCCGGATATCGAACACGGACACCGAGCACCGAACACGGAAAACGGAGTGCGGCCATCAACGCTTCTTGTCCGGCCATCGAGTGGAGACACGCTTTCCCCGGACGGATTCCCCGGAGAGTCCGTCCTTTGTCCGTCTCGAGAGCAAAATCATGTCGGAGGCAAGTGGCCCACTCCACTCGAAGCTGAGTTGCGAAGCACCTACGCTTTTGTACCTAACTAACTAAAATGCAAGACTTTAAGAACAACCATCTTCTAACTAAATAACTTTACAATTTACTGAACGAAATAATTGAAAAATATTTATGTGTGTATTATGGGTATACATTTGTATGCTGTAGTCCCTTCAATTAATATAAAATATTGATTATCAACACAAAATACTAAATGAGTAATAAATAAATGGGTTTGCTTTGTTGAACACTTCAACTACTTAAAAACATAATTGCCAATGTAACTTCCAAATCTTCCTTTTTACCCATCTATTTTCCTCTTGAAAACCTTTGATATATAAATACTTTTATGTATGTAACCTCGGTACAATCAGAAGAAGAGCACTTATCATCACTGACCCCACACAGATAGATTGCTGTGATTGTGAACCAATAATGCCCCAATGTCATAATTATATATCAAACTTGGAAATTGTTAACGTTGATTGGCTTTGTTATGGGTTGTACGGGGGGAGCGGAGCAGATTGCGTTTCGCACACAATAAATGTGTATTCCAATTAGTTTAATTATGCCGAATACCGAATGCCGGAATGGCAAATGCCAGGGAAATATTGAATTTTGCCGGCAATTGTTGGATGGACCTTGGTTTGGTAAGAAGTTAATTTCATTGTTAAACAAACCGCAACCGCAGTGCAAACAAAGGAGCGACCCGGCCAAAACAGCAAACAGATGGCCAGCGACGTTTCAACTTTAAACGAACCGGAAATGGGCGAGGGTTCTGTTGGTCCTATTCGTCCTGGTCGTCCTGCTCGTCCTGTTGGCGAGCCACCGAGAAAGGCATCATTAATCATGAGTAGCTACGGCTTGGCCCCGGTTTACTTAACGCTCCTGGCACGCGCTTAGCTTGCCTTTTTTCCTTTTCCGGCATTAAATTTTAATCCCAAAAACACACGCCCCGTCCAACAAAGGAGGAAAAAAGTGAAGGCCCTCGCTTACGACCATCCCACGCTGCACGGTTAATGGCATTTGAAAACTGTGAAAAAGGCATGACGAAAATGTGGCCAAAACCCAGTTCCACGGACCGCTGCTCCTGGCTCTCAGCTCTCGGGTCTCCTGGCTCCTGGCTCCTGGATACTGAATACTGGATGGTGGATAGTGGATAGAGGTTCCTCCATCGTGGCGAAACTCATGTCCCGCAGCACTGCACTTTAATCGGAAGCGAGTGACCCCTGCGGCCGACGGTTGTTGGTTACAGGATACGCCCATGTCATCACTTCAGATCGACAATGACTGGCGGCCAGAAGTGCGGAGTGAAGTGTCACATCGCGTTTGCAAAAAGTCGTCAGCCGTATCCGGGTGCATCGGGGGAAAAGTGCACCAAAAAGTAACCTCCATTTTGCTGTTAACTCACTACGTTGGCAGGCAACTTTATATCTTCTACCAGAGGTTAAAAGGTATTCGAATTGAGTGAACTTTTAGTCAAATTAAATATAAATTTATATAAATTATATGAGTTTTCCAGAATGGTTATCAAAGATGACAAATGTATATATTTCTAAGTATGTTCTTAATCACATTACCAATTTACTTAATGTTGTTCCAAAAAAACAAAAGAGTATTTAAACATTTTCCAAATATTTAACCAAAATAGCAATCCGACCAAAATTGTTAAATTACCAACAATTTATGTTTATGTTATACATCTATAAAATAACAATTCACAAAATAGATTCAAAAAAGCAAAAACATGAGTGGAAACAAATCAAGTAGTTTACAAGTTCCATAAGGCTTTAGTTCTTATTTAGCATAACACTAAATCTTTTTATTCTCTTTTTTTATAACAACGTACTCATTTTATAAGTTCACAGGTTAAATCTAATCCGCTTCAGAGCACTTAACCAAGTTTAAATAAAGTTAAACTGAAAGATAATCCGTGTCATACTTTACGGCGTTGGACTTTCGAGTTATTTCCGTTTAAGTGGCCAAAGTCAAAGTCAAGAGTTTGCCGCAACAAGCCAAAGAAGCTTTAACAACTATAAATGCGATCACTTACAGCTTGTAATCAATAACGGGAACAGCCAAACACCAACAAGTCAAACAAACAACAACAGCAACAACAACAGTAACAACAACAATGGCCAGGAGGCGAGCGGTCCAAAGGAAAACTTTCTGGCTTGAATTTCACACACAGTCCATGAAGAAGTTCAGGTTACTGGTTTCCTTCGCTGCCGGCTTTTCCCCATAAAAAAGTTTTGCCATTACTTTTTGACCAGCTGCACATAACTGTCGCTGTCGCTGTCCTTGTCTCCGGTCCTATTCCTCTCTCACCTTCACCTTCAGCCCCTCCCCTTTCCCCTTCCGCCTTCTATACCAATCCAACCAATCCACCCACAGTATCGCATCTCCTATTATTGTTTGCTCCCCGGCCTTGATTCATCGTTCCCGGCTGCTGTCTAATGAAACTCATGTTTTTATTAGGCCGAGTATTGATTGATTGTCCGAAATAGATTTACTGCAGGAAAAAAGTTTTGTAATCGAAACCACCACTTGATTACATTATTTTGAAAATGAATATTCCTAGATATTAAATAAATTTATCCATAAAGCCATAAATAAAACTAAAAACCGCGTTAAACAAGAAAGGAAAATCTCTAAAGATGGGAAAAATTAAGGTGAAACAAAATAAGACACTTTCATATCATTGAATTTTAAAGATATATCTAATACAAATAAGTAAAATCTCTAAAGATGGGAAAAACTAAGTGTTAGCTAAGTAAGTCACTTGTTTATATCATTAAATTTTACAGATATATCTAAGAAACTAAGCCGCGATTAAAGTTCTATCTTTTTAAAATATATTTGTAATTCAAGGAAATTTCACAAAATGTTGTAGGGATTACTTCTTCTGGATTACTTCTTCTGGCGCTCCTCCAGCAGTCCCTTGACCAGTCCCACCAGCATTTCCAGACCCTCCCGGTTACTCTTTTGGTAGTAGGGAAGAGCCTCCAGCCGCTTGAACCACTGCACCAATCGGGGGAACTGCTCCGCCTCGATGGGAGCGAAGGGCTCCGCCGTGGAAACGGAGGCGATGCAGCTGAGATCCGCGATGGTCAGATGGTCACCGGCTAGGTAGTCTCCTCCAGCCAGGCAGTGCTCCAGTCCATCGTAGGCCTTCTGGAGATAGGCCACTCGATCGGCGGGGACCTCATCAGCTCCAAAATAGATCACCGGCTCCACGATGAATCGGAGTCGCGGGAACAGGTGACCGCAGTCGTAGTACAAACGGGCATCCACCAGGCGACGCTTCTCCGGATCCTTGGGGTACAAGGAGTCATCGCCCTCCGGGGAATACTTATCGGCCAAGTAGCAGATGATCACATGCGAATCGCTCACGATAGTCCCGTTATCATCGAGCACGGGGATCGTGTGCTGGGCATTCATTTTGAGGAACTCGGCCGACTTGTGCTCGCCGCCCTTCACGTTCACAACTCTGAAAGAGATGTACAAAAGAGAAAGTAAGAGAGTGGATCTAGAGAGTCTGGGGAAAAATAGATAGTGGCTTAACCCTTATGTCGTCCGGCGCGTTTAAAGAATACTTTTCAATCAATCGATTGAAATTGTTTTTTTTCTTCAAAAAGATTCTTATTGTTGCGTAGAAGAAATTTTTTCATATGTTTGAAGATACATATTATATTTGAACAACTATTTAATAATATTTTTGTTATTTAAGAAAAATTGTTTGTTACTTGTGTTATCTATGAGATAAATAATAAATATAAAAGACTGATTTTCCGAGAGATAACCCACTTAAGAAACTTTTTTCTATAGGCTAAATAAGATATTATTTGTAACATTAAATAATGCCTCAAAAACTGATATAAGGACCATCTAACAATAACATTTGCATACGTACATTTGTAATTATAAACTTGGGGTCTTGTCAAGCCACTTCTTACACTAAAGGTTAAAAAAGAGTGTATTTTGTGGTGAGACCGGTTTATCAACGAAATCGGTGAGAAGAAAAAGCTCTCCACCCACCAAACTCCATATTGTTTTTTTTTTCTGCAACCAATTCTACATTATGATAACATAATATTAATACACTTTTTAATGTTAAAAGTAAAAATGTCAAATACGAGGTCAAATATGAGTATTGTTGAGAAGAGACCGGTTTACCAGAGAATCCGGAGGAGCGGGAGAACTCACCGTAGGTCCAATTCCAAACCCAGAGCGGCGGCAGTAAGTTGAACAGCACGACATGGGGGACTGCGGGGAGCGTAGTAGAGGATGGGTTTGGCCGACATTATCCAAAAGCCTTTAATAGATTGGTTAATTACTAATTTGTGTGACAAGCGAACCAAAAAACAACAAAATTATTGGATTTCTATCATACTTTTCTCAAAAACGCAACCGGCTCAGCTGAAAGTAAAAAAGCAACTAAAATGATAAAGAGAAATAAACAGGTTGTTTGCTGACGTTTTCGAAGCTTTCACAAAGCTCTTCGAATAGTTTATGCTTATAAAAAGAGAACATTATTCGATCTGGAAGACCACGTTCTCGATCAGAAACGGAGAAGGACTTAATAAAAATCTTATTTAATTATGAATAATTATGATATAATAATATATACACAAAAACCGTTTTATTTAAACCAATAACAAATTCATGAGATACTCAAAAGTTACATAAATTATTATTGTCTTCAGCCTAAAACTATACTAAATAAATTAAAATTTTTATCTTCACTATAAAGTAAAATATATTGGATTACCAATCGTCAAGCAAACCGTTTCTAGTTTAGTACCACCTTTTTTCATTTTTCAAGTTTGCAAATACTGATTATTTCAGATAGTTTAAGTAAGTAAGGTATAAATTTAGTAACCGCACCAACAGCATTTAGGCTTTAGCGTAGATAGATAACAAAAAAATAATCTAAAAATAATCTAGGAAATGTAATTACCGTACAGATACTTATTTCCAGATAAGTAATTTGTATTAACGAGTCATCTGGAATAATTTATGATATGCGAAAGATATTGTAATGGTTTCTTTGCCGGTTATTAATGATTTTCTCTCAGAAGGTTTACTGTCATTCATGACAGATGTCCGAGAATTAAGTCCGATGGTATGATTACGTTATAATGACTTATTTGTTATTGAATTACGGATATTAAATCGAAAACACTTTCTACTGAAACCATTGAAAACATTGTTTAAACGTGGCCTTTAAAGCGCTCTCGAATTAACGTATTTTGGGCCAAATTCACGCACCGAGGAGGTGACTAACTAAGCGGATTCACCGTTATCCTGACAGCCCTTTTGCAGGGCGAACGAAATTAAAATTTTAAGCGGATTTCGGCATTAGTTAATGGTTCGGGCCAGAGGGTCCCTCTTCCCTCTTTCACGGATTCACTTTGCCGTGCAGCAGGAGCTTTTTGTACATAAAGTGAATATAATTGGATTTCTGATGCTCGGCGTCAGGTGGATAGAGACATTAATGCGAAATGCTGGGGGACAAAACGTCGATAATGGTTCGTTTTGGCCTTTTGCCCCCATTGGCATTGGCAATGCCATCGAACTCGAACTCCGAACTCAGAGTGCGGCTCACGTCGAATACCTTTAAATATTTGGTCACGGGCGAGGGATGCGACACCGAAATGAGAAAAATGTTTGCCCAGGTATGCGGGCAGGTCCTTCCCAACCCCCCTAACCACCTAACCCCCCAAACTCCTCCTCTTTTTCCACCCGCTTTTCCTACTTTTCCAGCTTTTCTCGCTGCTCTCGTTCGAAGACAAATTTGTGAAAGCAATTTACAGTTATTAAAGCTTTTAGTGGGATCAAAAGCAAACTGGCTGCGTCCTTGGCGTCCTTCTTTAGAGTACAAGGCATTAAATTTAATTTGGTAATTGAATAATTTCTGTGACAAACACGAAACTCAATTCGGAGCCCGAGAACTTTTCCGGGAACGGAAACTATGTCCCGTGAGCCTTGAAAGCATTAACTAATTGATTGCCACTTGACGAGTGACATTTATCTTCATAACTTGGTTTTTACGCCTCGGGGTTCTGGGTTCTGGGCGCTCTTAATTGAAATCACAGCCAGGACTATCTGGCAGATGCTGCTCCCCGTGCATGAGATTAATGGTAATAGGATGGCCACGACTCGCATGGGGCAACTGGAGACCGGAGACTTGGAGACTAGAGAGTCACACCCACGCGGTGCCACAGAGTCAGCTGCTCGAGTGCAAAATCCACTGTTATTAATGATCCTTTGGCGCATGGGGAAGAGTTTCCTGGTGGCCTGATATCCTTTCACTGGCTGCCATAAATATTACTTAATTCGCATCCAGCCTTGGCATTTATAACAATTAAATTGCGGGGACTACTCGGCTAATTGTCCCTCTAAAAGAAAAAAGCCAACGAGTGGCAGTATCCACAGAATCCTCACTGAAAAGTCCAAGAAAACGGGGTGTGTGTTCCCCTCTCAATCTGATAAGCACAATGAAGATGTCTAAGTGTCCTGAATCCTGCCGCTTTTGTCTCCATTTCCTTTTGTCATTCCGCTTTTTATTGGAATGTCGAGCTGTAGGTTTCGGGGGTCCAGTGACTAGGCATATAAATCGAAGCTCAAATTAAAAGTGACATCCTATTATTTAGATAAAGATATGAAGAGAGAATGGCAGACAAGTCAAATGAAGGGCACCCCAAAAAAAAAACCCCAAATCGATGGCTGACATCCACAATGATAGCCATGCAGCCCGAGGATGAGAAGGATGAAAGGTCCTTGCAAATCAAGGTCCGTGCAAATCAAGTTGAGCCAGCCGAATACTTGAAATTCAGATTTCGACATTTGATTTAAACGGTATTTGACATACCCAGTTTACACTTAATCATTTTTGATTTCATGTTTTATTGCCGATACACAAAGGTTCAAACTACAGTGTTATTTAAGTAATTGCACAAAATAATCAATTTTAATTAACTGTTTTTTAAGAAACGGTCATTGGACAATAAAAAAACTTTTTCATTTATTTTTGATTTCTAAGTACAGATATTTATTTGAAATAAAAACGTTCAAGTCACACATTAGTATAACATTGATATTAATTTGAACAAACAAAGTAAAGCCCATTAAAGGTTTTTCTTGACAAAAAAAGGGATTTTTGGATACCTGAAATTTTAATATTTAATACTATTTAAAGTCCATCAATGCTTTTCCCTTACGATTCTCGAGACATGGTGTTCAAAAGTGGGTTGAGTTTTGGTAAGCGGTCTTTAACCATTATAAAAGCGACAGGAAAGCGATTACATGTCGGCTTCGATGACCTTGGCATATGTTTTCAGCCCCGACCCCCTCGTCCATCAATGCCAGCCGTCATGCTCCTTTGACCTTCTGTCCGCTGACACAGTCGGATTCAGGATACAGGACTCAGAATTCAGGATACAGGATACAGGATACAGAATACAACAACTCTCTAAGCCAGTCGCTAGCATCTGTATTATTTTTTGCATCTTTCGGATGAGCCGGGATGCCTGGCAGGCTTAGGACTTTAATTTGTTTGATCCGTCTGCGTTTATCAGTGAAAATCCACTTGCAAGTCGCTGAATTTATTGAACTTTATTGAACTGTAAAAACACGAGCATAAATAAAATGAAGTACAGGGGAAAGGGAAAAAGGGAGGTGCGGTAAAATAAAAGAAAAAAGCAACTTCGATTGCAGGATATTCCAGAGTGCGGCAAAAATCTACATCCCCAATGGATGAATGATGGAGGGCCATTTCCCTGGGTCGTGTGAGTGGTTCGGTGGTTGAGTGGCTATGTGAGTGGGTGAGTAGGTGGTTGAGTGGGTGGTGGATTGCGGCCATTCGCGCTTTTACGACCCACCTGAATGAATGGATTTTTAGGGCTTTTCGAATATGTATTTTAATGGAGCCGGTGGCTCGGCGTTGTTGTTCTAAACAATAGCATTGGGAATTTTATTGGGTTTATTTTTTCTTTTTTTTTTTGGTTTTGTTTGCCTTCATGTTTGCTTTGGGCTGAAGCACTCGAAGCTGCTGTTGGCACTTTCTGCCTTGTTGCCATTGATGGATTAGCGTTGTAAGCCAAACAGGTGGCAGGCATGGCCACAGCCCATGTGTTTTGGCCCTGTATCCTGTATCCTGTATCTGTGCTCACACACGATTTCATCACTCTTTCTAAGCCTTTTTGGCCGTTCAATGCATCATCAAAGTGACAAGCAGAGATGCTGTATCACTGTTTTATGTTTTATGCCCATTCAGACTTTTGTGCATACCACAAAAAATTGGATATCAACAGTTGCGGTCGATATTTGTATACATTTTCAGTTCCCCTCAGAAAAGAAATTTAATATTTTGCGATTAAAGGTAAAAATTAAACACAGGTTTGGTTTGTAAAGAAAGTGTTGCCATAGAACAAGTAACTCTTGGTAGATTTTCATAAAACATATACTTACATTCATTTTATGAAGAAGTTATATAGATTTATTTATAATAAGTGAGTCATAACATATTTTTTAGTTCAGTTTTTCTGTTCAAATAGAAACATGTGCAAGCCATTTTTCAGCAATGATATTTTATGAGAAACCTAATCGGAAATTGACATTTAATTAATTAAAAATATTAGTTCAATTTGCTCATCATATATTTTAAAATAACTCCTCTTTTATTCCACTTAATAAATAAGCTCTTATATCAAAGAGCTCTATCGCATCGTATAAATCCCTCTTTAGAGCTCATCATCATCCCATCCCCATTCACTATCCGCCTAATCCCATTAGCACTTTTCAAACATTCCAATGCGAAAAGCATTTCAATTGGCAACCGCAGAATTAGAATTTAGTCCAAAGTTTGACAGCAGCTGTTGGCAGTCAGTTAACCGGTTTGCACTTTGGCCAAAATGTTTTGCGGCGGAACCAAAACAAATGTTAGCTAACCCGCACAGCGTGGATTCGGTTTTTGAAACAAAATCCTCAAACATAATTTTGAAATAAGTGAAGAAAAAAATTGACTTTTCCCCTTTTTGGAGAATGCATTATCTGGTCATTTTATTTTATAGCGTAGAATTGGGGCAATTTATGGGCCGTGGCGAGAGTGTTTAGATTTATGGGTCGTTAACCAGGTGGAGCTTGGAGCCTTGGCCAGCAGCTTTTGACCAAAGTGGACCCTTTCGCCATAAATCCTTGAAAGGAGCGGGCCACGTGTGGCCCATTATCTAATGTGTGTGTACATGGCCGGCAGTAATTAACGAGGCAAATTCGTATTAATTGCGTATACGCACCGTGAGCCACAAGAAGGAGAAAATGCTAATTAAGACGTAGCTGGCGTGCACTTGATATTGATAAATCAATTAGTTTATGCAACAACAGCGGGCAGTCGGTGCATTAGCCCAAGGAGGCCAAACGACGCAGGGCGACACAATGCGCCGCAGGACCTCCAAACACATCCATTTAATTACAAACAATGGGGGCAGTGCCATTTACCCAACCCCTTTTCCCTTCACATACACATGCATAGCATCCCGCCTCCTGGCAGCGGGAAAAGAGCACGCAGCTTGATCCGCAGCAGGCGGTCGGCTTATTAACTATAGAAATTGATTTTGCCCGGGAGGAGCGAGAGGAGCCCTTTCAAAGGACCCCGGATGGAGGGATAATCAACCCCCCCTTGGCGGGCATTCTGCTTATGCTAATGCCCTGCGGCACTGACAACCCGTTGGCTGACTAATCGCACTTAATTTGCTGCAGACGGGACGCCCGACACCTGAACCGAGCAGCATCCTAGAAGCTCCTACTCCTGCTTTTGCGTCTGCTCCTGGTCCTGTGGAAAACAAAGTTCGTTGCCCTCCAGTGCGCGCAGCTTCTGTTTTGCAGACCCGATAATAAAGACCTTTATGTTAATGTCTATGTAAACTCTCGAAAAGGGCAATTCGTTACTTTAACTATTTAATTACAGTTGGAGTTCGTCGTGGGTGTCATTTAATGGACTGTATCCGTTGATGGGTCATAAATTAAAGTGGCCTAAGTAGATGTAGGCAGTGGAGGAAGTGTTCTACCAGAGTGAGTATAAATTATCTAATATTGAAAGAAAACATAAACTATTTGTTAAGTTAAGAAGAAAAGGTTCGGCAAAAAGAAAACTGTTTTAGAATATGTTTTGGAACCCCATTTCCACTTCTGGTTCATTTTGCAGAATAGTATTTTGATTCTTAAATGAAAAGATCTTAATTATTATATATTCGTATCATAATGAAAGTTCAGAAGTAATAATGTGAAACTAAAGCAAAAGATTCTAGATTAACATACAGTTAAAATTTTTAAATATTTTTTTAAATTGTAAAACCATTGCAGGGAATTCTTCCTAAAATGCTGACCTACTTCTCTTTGAACTCGTATACGTTTTAGTGTAGCAGCATTAACTGTTAGATAAGTAGAAACTAATCCCACAATAGTAAATAGTCTGTGGCAATAAAGAGGCAATATCTATCTCCACTGTTAGTCGGAATGGTTATGAGCAATAACAAAGCGATGCCCGCAATTCTTAAATGGAATTGTCACCTCATCGGGCGCCAAAAAGGCTCTCAATTGTTTTGGAGAACGAAGAAAGGAAGTGGCAGCTTATTCGGCCGCATTGAGAAACGGAGTGGAAGTGGAACCAACGCCGCAGGCTCCAAAAGCTCACCGCATCCGATGGCTCCTCCGGTTTCTGTTTTCTGGCTTCTGCCCGGGAACCGAAAATCGGAGAAACAGTGAGCAACCGAGTTTGAATCCGAAACCGAATCGGACCAAACACCAAAACCCATTCAGCTCTGTGGCAACATGAACTAGCAACACGCCTCGTTTGGATTGTTTATCTTATCGGCCGCCAGTTTTTGGCCAGAAGCAGATGGCCAGAGGCCAGAAAGTGTTTACACTCCGCTCGGTCGATATTAATTGGCCCAAAAGTGCCGGTATTTGGTGTGTGGGCAAAATGCACTCAACTTTCTTCACGGCAACACGATTAATGGCCGGTGCAACATTTCCGTGTGTTGCTGGTTGTCACTGGCAACATGTCAGCCTTTTTGCCTTTGAGCCACAAGTGTTTCTGCCACCCAACCCCGGATTTTAACCATTTTAATGGAGGAAAACAAAGCAGCAACAGCGCGATGAGCTTGTGCTCCTTTTTGGCTCTCTGTGCCATTTCCACGGCGTTTCTGGGCCGAAAGCTTTCGGCTTTTCCGAGCTGCTCTGCCGTCGCTCAGTTCCTCGTCGAAGTTCAAAGCGTTTGGTGCTCGCAGCGGAAAAACGGTCGTGGCACCCAAGCAATTTAACAATAACACCAACAAAAAAGTGAGGAAAAGCTGGGGAAAAACTTTGAAAACGGGCGCGAACAAGTGAGCAGCGGCAAAGGCAGCGGTAGCAGCGGAATCAGCAGCCGAAGTGAAGTGTAAATAAGTGAAATACCCAGCACACAGATACACACGCACACTAACACACACACACACACACAGACAGCGGCTGTGGAGTTTGGGCCTTGGTATTAGAACGGGCACGGGGTAGTTGTGGGGATGGCTAACACGTGAAGTATATGGATCCGGCCAGCAATATTCGAGCGTTCCCGAGCTTATGGCAGCTATCAAATTAGCATGGGACTCGATTACGTTGAGTTATTTGGAAAAATTATACGCATCCCTTCCAAACCGAATGTGTGAAGTTTTGGAAAACAAAGGTGGCTCAACACATTATTAAAAAAATTTTTTTTGTTACAAAATACCTTAAACTAGAATATATTAAGTAATTTTAATGTTTGAATAAAGTTTGAAAATTCTAAACATTTTTTTTGGGAATGTGTCCTAATCAAGTGGTGCAAAATGAAGACTGCACAATTGGTTACTAATTGTTTAACAATTTTTTTTTTATACTTACAACTTTTTAAAAATATTGTAATTTTTGCAACACTACTAGATTTAAATTAACTTAACTAAAACAATAAAATTATGTTCCTAGATGGCTTGGCTTGGCAGCAATTAAAGTTATAAAATCTAGTTTAGAGGTGTCCTATTCAAGTGGCGAGCAGTGTATTTATATCCACCGATTCCAGATTCCCCCTCCCACTTTTCCCCTTCCCCTTATCTTAAAGCAGGTGCGACATTCCCCTGATTATGGACATTGTCTAAACGGCGTTGCATTTCCCGACCTGCACAATTATTTCATTTAATATGCATGCCTTAAAAGTAACTATTTTGAAATACCCGTTTTTGGATTTTGTTAGCTTATCATAGCAAGCTAATCTGACAATAACAACTCCTTGGGATTACCTTTATAATCACCATTAATAGTTAGTATTTGTGGAAGGGGTATTGTTTTGAAGATTCTGGAATTGTCAGGTAATTCAGAAGTTGGTGGAAAGATAATCTTACTTTATCTAAGCCAAATTTAGATTTGATTTAGTTTTTAGTTCAGCTTATTTGGTAATGACTATAATGATTTTCTATAGTCTAATGAACATCATTTAATTTTAATCAGACACGAATAACACAACTTAGGTTCTGTTAAACATTTTGTAGGAAAATAAGAGGCAAAGACACTCATTAAATGGTAGACAGAGTCCCCTTTCTCCCACAAAAGGTGAAAGATTCCCCAAATTATATAGAGTGTCTAAATGGCATTGCGCATTCCGACGGGTTTCTTGGTTGGGTTCCCCTTTGCATTTATCAATGTCTTCGGTCTTCAGTCGTCTGCCTTCAGTAGACCAAGATTGATATGGAAACAATGCAACCCCACAAAAGGGGCTAAAAAACCAATTAAACCAACCACTAGAAAAGTTTGCCCGGCCAGCAAAGAACCCTTAAAATTGCAGCGAACAAATTTTAATTGGAAAAAACTTGCCTAATTGAAGTTTAATAAACAAAGCGACTGCCGGTGGAGTGGGGCAATGCAAATTCTGCGACGGACAGTTCCAACTTCGCTCTAATTTCCAATTAAAAGAAGGCAAAAAGAGGAGGAGAAGGAAATCGTGCCAAGTGCAATGACCACAGCTGGAGCTCCATAGCCCCACAGCCCCAGGATCTGTTCATTGTTCATTGTTGGCTTCCGCCTGTGCGGATGTGGATTGCGGATTGCGGGGGCTGTCCACGTTTCTGTATCTGAGAGCAATTAAAATATGCATAAAATGTAAATGAGAGAGGCCCAACTAAAGCCAGTGCCCAAAAACCAAACATTGTCTGTCCCTTTTCAAAACCCACAAATATTCCGGTTTAATGAATTTAGAGCGAGCCGAGCGCAAACCAAAGTGCAAATGAAAAAGTGAGAATAAATTGTGAATCAATCCAATCAGTCTGGACAAACAATAATAGAATGCCGGATACTGGACTACGAAGGAAATTCGCCAGAAGGTAAGAACCGCGAAGCAACAATCACAATTCCCGGCTCATTTAGGCCGCATTTCGGGATCAATAAACGCATTCGGGCCGAAATACTCGAGAGTCTTGTTTATTTGGCCGACGGTAATTAGTTTCTCCCCTTTTGGGCGATGGCTTACCCTCCAAACCAGCTCTACTCCGTCATCTTTTCCCCCAAAAATTGTTTGGCAGCCCATGCGGCGTATGCGTAATATTAAGATAATTGAATGGGCCATGACAAACAACAAAAACGAAAGCCAGAACGAGAACGAGAACGAAAATGGAAATGAAAATGTTCCACTTTTTCGCCTCTTCATCTGCCCTTTCGCCGCCGTCTTTCTGCCATCATAAAGCATTTTCCGACCCGACTCGGCGTATCCTTTCATTGCTTCTCATGTTGAAAATGGCCAATAAAAATGTTTACGACGCACGCACATACTCAGGTAAATTCCTGGAAAATGTGCCCGAAGAAGCGTTGAATACTTATTAAAAAATTACCCAAGCTCGGGCGTACATAAGCATTAATGTATATAGGCGTGTACAATTCTTTACGATTCGCCAGGTTCATTATTTATCATTTTCATAAAGAGTTTAATGCCCAATAATTTCCCGAAACGTCGTGGGTTCCCCGAACGGCATGTGTGCTCCACGGAATGATAGATCCTGAAGAGAAAGTGGGATGGGTTCTTGCCACATGCTGAGCGGTCGCTCCCGTCTAATTAGAGGACTGGGCAAGAAGTTGATGAGGGTAAATTGGCGAGTAATTAATCGCCAGTTCATTTAGGGCTGAAATTAAACAGGAAGGGCGCAAAATAGATTTCAGGCTTCAACGCAGACGCATAAATAAAGTTGATAGTTATATATATAAATAATACGCCTAATACCTTATATTTTCATGTATACAATTCAGTATTTAGAAGAGTATTTTGAATAGAAACCAAAGAAATATATTTGTAACAAAAAATCCAGATTCAATAACACCTTACATAAAAAACCTTTATTGAAGTCTTCTTTATTTACAGTAATAAAATTCTAACATATACACTGTATTTCGAACAATAATAAATCCTTTTGATTCGAATCAAACTTTGTTTGGATCATAAAAGTAATCCGCCTTTTGCTATCAATAAAATAAAGTACCAAGAAATCAATTTCCTTTCATTTTCGTATTCCAATATATTTGCGCCAGTGAAATAATCAAGCTAAACAAACACAAGATAAGCAAGAAATATCAGCAAAATGTCAAAGCAAAGTTACGACAAACTTTTGTCGGGGAAAAACAGATTTGCAAACATGAAGAGCTGATTGCAATTATTGTTTCCTAATCGACTTAACCAGAAGTTAAGCAAGAAGTTTCGAATGTGTTAAATGCATTTTCCTTAAAATTACCCGAGCTCAAGAAAGTGAATTAGCACCATATTCGAATTGTTTCATTTTATTCATGGCGTATGCGTAATTTGGTTTCTGCTGATGCTGTCTCTAAGCTCTATATAAACATAAAAACTTGTTTATATTTGCAGCAGAAAATTGTGTGTACACACATCCCAAATCCTGCTCGCTCACATTATTCGAAAGACATAAAACTCGAGAGAAAACAAAACCAATGAATTGCAAAGAACGGCAACAAACAAATGCAGAACGCGTATGCATGTTCCGAACCGATTTTAATGGCTCTCAAATTTTATATTTATTGAAACTATAAAATGTTTATGGCCGAGTGCCGCCGTTGTTGCACTTGACCTGAACCATCGCCATTCCACGGCCAGTGGAAAAATTCCTATTTGGGTCGGGATCGGTGGCCGGACTTACGCAATGTTCGTAACTCAATTTTACAGCCAGTTTTATACGTCTGGTGAGGCAATCCATCGGTACGTAAATATATTAATTTGCTCCAGACTTGGCACCTTTTACTGCATCCGTTTCACTCTTTGTTCTGCGAATGGACCGCGAAAGATATCTGAGATCTGAGTGCTAGTGTAAACATTCGGTGAAATCGGTGGAATTGAGAAAATCTAGTTCAAGTCAATTCTGCTACTTGCCAAAAAAGAAAACGATTTAGACAGAAAGACAAAGAGTTATAAACTGACAAGAACGAATTTGAAAGGAATGGCGGGAATTATGAGCTATAACTTGAAAGCAATATATAGTTGAGCTTATGCCAGATTATTTCAACAAGGAAATATATTTTCTTTTCCCCAAATAAGAAAGAATTATACAGGAAATAATACTTCAAAAGATTTTAGCAACTCGCATGCAACTAAAGTGAATGAGTTTCTAAAGGGCTTCAATTTCAAAATTTATTTCTTTGTTTATAAAAGAAGTGGATTAAATGCTTTTTTCATCGTAAAGATGAAACCTTAAATGTTATTTCCTGCTAAATTAATCAACGATCCAGTTACCCTTTTTGCTTGCTTTAATAAGGTTAAGTGCTGTTTGTTTTTGTTGGCCCTTTTTCCGTTGGCTGGTGGAAAAGGTTTTGCGCCAACCCGGCGTATGAGTAATGCGCGTGCAAAACATTTATCTCCAAACTCACTTTAGATGCAAAGTGAGCGCTTAAAACTTTAACCGAATGTGCTGGGTGTGCCGGTCGCTAACGAAGGACATACAATGTGAGTGTCCTGTCCTTCAGTTGAAAACCGACAGGATAACCGGAGTGACGGGAGGGTAAGTGCTATAAATCAGCACTCGAACCACTTAATAAGGACGCCCAACGCACCTACACACACACTCACACCGGAAAGTGCTCACACACACACTCACACACTTGCTCGATCCTGGCTTTTACACCACTCTTTTTTCCGGCATTCCTCGCATTTTTCTACGGTTTTCCCCGCGCTTTTCACCGCCTCGAGAAAAGCGCGAAATGAGTTATGGCAACGAAAACAAAAAGAAATATGCGGTGCCCAGCGAAAAGCAGCTGGCAGCAGAAAACTAGAGCACAGAAGTTGATAGAAATAGAATTATTAACAAATGCCGATAGCTTCCGTTTTAAAATTGAACAGGAGAAATTGTTAGTGCTGCGAATTTCATATATTTTCAATAGCTTTAATAGAGAGAAGTAGATAAGTGGTTAACCCAATTTATTTCAATTTAAATTTATTTGTATTTATACGTGCATATAACAATATTTGCAAGGAAAGAGTATTTTTTGTTTAATCAAATCAATTCAAAATGAAATCAAAATAATATCAGACCAACACTTTGAATATATTAAATATTTTTATTTTTGCACATAATGGAGGATCCTCAACCGGCTGTTGAAATATTCATGGGCGTGGCAGCGGAATGTTTTCGTCACGCGCTTTAATTGCCACGCCACTCTGGCCAGCAGAAGTGGGCGGGGTGCGGAGTGCAGAGGGCGTGGCAGTACCGCCTATACTCTGTTTTGATTATACGCTGGCGAATTATTTTCCCCCATTTTTTCGGCGCCCGCATCTGTTTAGCATAAAGCAATCACGAATTAGCCATAATTTGCTACCAACTTAGTGTGTGTGCTGCGCTTATCGCCGTCAAAATAAAAGCTCATTAATGCGGCATTCGGAAGATTTTAAATATTTGCCCAGCGCTCTGTTATTACCATTTTCCAGACGACGTCGCCGCTGTGCCTCCTCCCCCCTTTCCTCTGCCTTCCCCTCTCCCTTCTCCCATCTCCCATCACCATCCCCTCCCCCTTTTCCACGAACCCCTTATTTAAATGGTCGCTGTGTGTTATGCATAAGTGCTGGTGGCTGGTGTGTTTGCATGTGTAGCTGTTTGCTTTTGCGGGTGTCTGCTGTGGGTGCCTCGATTTTAATTAAATATGAAATGCGCTCGCCTTCGCCGGTCTCCGCTGGGCACAGCTGGAAATGGATACACAAAAATCAAACAAACAAACTAGCCAACAGTTCACAGAGAACGGCAAATGCTCTTCGAATGAATGTTGTTCTACAAGTACATTAGACAGCTTTAACAACCAGGATTTAGAATCCCAAAATCTAAGAACTACAGAAGTTGCATGTTCATTTCTTTATACTAATTTAAATAGCAGTGGAAATGAAAGAAAAATTATTTTACACAACACATAAATTGGTTCTATTAAAAATGCATATGCCTCGTACTTCATGTAAAATATTTTGAAAATAAAATTCTTGGCTAAAATATCCAAGCCATATAAAATAATAAATAGAACTTAAAAGCAATACAAGAAAATATAGAAAAACGTGTGTATAGATGTTTTTCTCTTTACATTCTTCTACTTAAATATCTTTTGCTGCAAACGAAAAATCAGTTCAATAGTTCAAAAGCCACTTAAACTTGTTCATTTTGTATTTTGAACTCATGCTGTATCCATTGCAGAAAATTAAATGATTTAAAAGTGTCACGCCCGTTGGAATTTCACTTCCGCTCCCTTCTTGCTTCCTTTAGCTCCGATTTCCGATGCATCCTTCAACTTAGAACGAAGCGAAAAGTGAAAGCCAGCGGAGGAACGAGTATAAAAACTTGTCATCGCAACATTAGTCATTTCCACAATTGGCGCGCATACCCCATTGATTCCGTTCCAAGGAAAACATGGTTCGAATCGGTTGTAAAATTGGTATGGCAAATGCAATCGGGCTTAGTCACGCTCTCTGGAAATATTTTCTGGTCTGCTTACTTTAACGATCGGAGAGAGAGCAACATTCAATGAGCTTTCGTACAACTTGTAGAATAAATCAACTTTGCAAGAAACTAGCAAAAGTCGTGGGAACTTAAAAAAACAAACTTAAATATAATCCTGAAAACATCTGTTAACGATTTGCCTTTGCACTTAAAAAATACTGTTTTTGTGTCCTAATCAACAACCCAAAAATAAATAATATTAAAAGCTGATCAGACCAACCAAAAGATATACACAAATTTTAAAATTAATCTTTTTGTAGTACTACATTATTCAAGAAGTTTTTTTAAAGTTTTTTTTTGCGCAATTCAACTGTTTGTTTTAAACTGTTGAAAACTTTTTAAAAACAATCTGTTCG